TCTCGTTCCGGCAGCTCTTCACCCACCGAGCGGCCGCGGCCGCCTGCAGTGGGAGCCCGCTCACCCCGGGCTGGTGGGGGGGCGGCCTTCCTGGGCAGGGGGGCTGGGGGGTGCACCGCGATGGCCAGGGCTGCCCGAGGCCGAGGAGCACAGGTGCGGGGGGCAGTGTCAGAAATCAAAGTCCCTGGAGGACGCGGTCCCGGGCTGGCAACTGGGCGCTGCCCTGACCAGGGATCCACTGAGGATCCCTCAGCAATGCTAAGGCTCAGGGCAGAGTGCTGGGGGGGCAGGGGGCGGGGGGGACACAGGGGTGGGGGCACAGAGGGGCAGGGGGCCAGGGACTCTGGGGCTCCGGGGGCAGAGGCACTGGGGCACAGACGGGCGGGGGGTGGGGGGTAGAGGGTGAGGGGGCAGGGGGCCGGGGGCAGGGGACAGAGGTCAGGGGGGCAAGGGGTTGGGGGCTGGAGCACAGAGGGGGCAGAGGTGCAGGGGCAGGGGGCAGCAGGTCGGGGTCAGGGCCCGGGGGGCTGGGGGCACAGAGGGGCGGGGGGCAGAGGGCCAGGGGGTGGGGGAAGGGGGTGAGGGGGCAGGGGGGCCGGGCCTGAGGGGCAGGTCAGGGGACAGGGGCCAGGGGGGCAAAGGGTTGGGGGCCAGGGGGCAGAGGTGCCAGGGGCAGGGGCAGGAGGTTGGGGTCAGGGCCCGGGGGGCGGGGGGCACAGAGGACCAGGGGGCAGGGGGTGGAGGGGGGCCGGGGGCGGGGTCAGAGCTGTCCAGCCTGTGGGTCCGTCTGTCCCCAGCAGCCCGGGCCTGCCCCCCAGGCTGTGGGCACAGGTAGCATTGGGGGCCGCAGGGGCCGGGAGGCCACCGCTTCGAGCTGGACACCCGCAGAAATCACAGGTGAGGCGGGAGGAAGGTTTCGGGCTGTGACCCGAGGCAGCTCGGGGATCCTGGCCCAAGTACCGGCCACACCACTGTGGCCCCGCGGCCCCGGCCTCCCTCCCGAACGGGCCCCTGGCCACCTTCCTCCCCCCAAGCCCTTTGTTCTGTCTAAACAAGTCCTGTTATGAAACCACAAAGCCAGGGCACCTGGCAAAGGGCCAGTCGGCGCGGGAAGTGGGACTTGAAGTGCACCTGGGCTTTGACTTCCGAGTGGAGGGAGCAGCGAGGGACTGCGAGCAACACACACCCATCATCATCGGAACTCGTAAGCTTAATTACAGAGAAACCCAAAGCTAATAATTTTTTATGCACAGTTGCACCCCTAGGAGGCCAGTTACCATGGAGATCTGTCTCCTTCCTTCTCTTTCACTCGGAGCCCGCTTATGTGGGAGAGGAAGCGAAGTGTAACCACAATGGAAAGATTCAGCGAGACACCGCGCGGTTTGCTACAAATACTTTGCATTTATTATGAGGATACAGTAGAAAGGCTCCGCGGACCTGTGCGCGGTCACTGGCCTGCTGGAAGAGAGGCTATTCAAAAATGATCCGAGTTTACAAAGATGATGAAATCCTGTTTTAAAGAACAGAAAACAGTCAAAAAACATTCTACAGTGTTGGCCAGGGTGGGAAGTGCGTTTCTTCCGAGGGTAAAAACTAACAAATAAAGGAGTGTTCAATACACATTCGAGCTGAAAATGGTCACAGCAGACAACCAACTGCCCTTCTCAGTCCGCGGCCAGTCATCGCCCGACTTGTTCACAAAGCCACATACGCTCACCAAAGGCCTCGTGTGTAGGTTCTACACCTGGATTTTTTTTTTTTTAATAAGCAGCACCCTATTTCCAGTGTTTCTTTTAGCCACGTCACAAATAAGTTATTTTAAAAGAGCAACAGAGAAGGTTCTAGGTGCTGCAACCTGCTACTATTGGCGCTGGAAGGGAACCCGGTGAACTGCAGGAGTGCTCTGCCCTGGTGATGCTGGTGGATGAACGCCTGCGGCTGGACCCCGAGAGCAGGCCCCCCCCCACTCCGAGAGCAGGCCCGGGGGTCACAGTCCCCAGCTGCTCGTTCATGGGCCAGCGGGCCGCCCACCCCCAGAGGCCCGGGCCCTGTGCAGCTCATCTACGCCGAGCTCCCTGGGGGGCTGTCCTCGGGACTCTAACACACTGGGTGTTTATCGCCCCCCCCCCCCCCCCCCGCCTTCATCTGGCTTCTCCTCCCCCCCTGCGTCCTGGGGCTGCGACTTCAGGGCCCTGCAAGTTCCCGCAAACGCACAGAACACACCCAAGGAAAACACACCAGACAACCGTGTACAAGGCCTGCGGATCCACACCGCTCCCCGGCCGTGCACCTGTCGCCTAAGCAGGCCACCCGACACCCTGGCCACGGAGGTGCGACTGTCGACGCCGGCCAGTACGGCCGCCTCCGCGGGAGCCCAGGATCCGGGCGGGGTCTGTGATAAAGTCACACGGCGGAACCCGGGCCGACGTGTCATGTGGGGCCGTGGGCCTCGAGGCCGAGGGAGTGTCGTACCTTTGGCCACTTCGGTCTCAAACTGGAAATGACAGAGACCCTCCCCCACCGGCTCCCCTTTGTGGTTTTGACCTGATGCTCAGCATCTGTTGCTGGGGGTGGGTTTGGGATGGGGGGGGGGGGACGAAGTGCACGTGCCGTGGGAGCCGGTGAGCTTCATGGGCCGTCATGACCCTTATGTCGCAGCAGGAACATTCCATGAAGACGTCCGTACTTTCCGCAAGTGGCAGGAAAGGCCTGGCAGTGGGGAAGAGCTCCGGGGTCCCCGCTCTGGAAGGGCCTGCGGCCAACGCCGGCACCGAGTGGCCAGGTGTCCCCCCACCGGGGCAGGCCACTTGTGAGCAGGCTTTCCCTAGCAGGGGGCCTTGCTTTCCGACTCCCCTTCTGCGGTTTGCAAGAGGCAGAGGTCCGGCCTGGCGAGCTGCTGGGCCTGCGGGGCTGGCCTTTGGCCCGGGCTCTCCCAACGGACAGGCCCTGCATCCCACACCCCCTTCTTAGACCCTCGAGTTTTGAATTCAGGGCCCCGGGGAGTTGGAGCCCCCACATGGGGCGGGGGTGTGGGTCATCCTCACCCAGACCCCATGGGCGTGAGCTTTGACAAGCACGACGTGACAAAAACCTTCATCCTGAGAGCCTGGTCTCCTCCACTTCATCTTTCGCCCTCACATTTATTGGGGTCCCCGGGGGAGTTGGGGATCTTGCTGATGGCCGTCTCCGCTTACCCTGCAGTGCTCAGAACACCGGCATTTCCCCTCCACGTGTCCGTCCCGTAATCCCAAACGAGGACTTCTCCAGGGGGCCGGGGCCGGCCCTCCCTGAGCACACCGGGTGGAAGGAGGGGTTCCCGCCGCTGACGGCCAGTCGGCCCTCCTAGCGCCCCATGTTACAAGTGTCCCCACACCTCCGGCGTGCTCATTCGGACATTAGCTGCCGGTAAAGGCTTTTGTGTTGTGTTAGAGGATTAGGTAACTGAACCTGAGAAAAGGAAATGCCGCCAGAAGGGGGAAAACAAAACCCTCAGAAACAAAAACCTAACAGAAAAAGTTGCTCCCCGCGTGGCTGCCGGGTACCTGGCGGGGCACGAGGTCGGGAAAAGTCTCCTGAATGAATAAGGCGGAGAGACACCCAATGGGACCACGAGGGGGTCGTGGTCCTGGGGGCAGCACTGCAGGCCCGGGCCTCTGCAGGCTGGGGCTGGGCAGGCCAGACCTCCACGGCTTACAGCGCAACCGAGGCTGACCTCGGGCCGCTTCGACCCTGCCGGCGAGGGGGGCGCCTCCCCTGTACCCACCCCCCCAGCACTGGGGATCCCGCCCCAGGACATGGCTGGGCACCTGCCCTGCCACCCCCCCCCCGCCCAGCTCAGGGATCCCACCCCAGCACCCGGCAGGGGCCCCTCCAGGGCCCAGGGGCCACCTCAGGGAGACTGGGGAGCACAGGAGGCGATCAGGGCCATGGAACCACAGGAGAGCGCAGTGCCCGCCGGGCAGCAGGGAGCCCTGAGTCTCCCGCGCCGTCGCCTGGGTCACCTGATGGGCTCAGTAGGCCCGGATGCAGGCTGTGCCCTGGGAGCAGGGGACAGACACAGGAACCTGGCCCCTGCCCCTTGGCTCCTCGACCCCCAGGCGCAGCTCGGCTCAGGATGGTCCCTCGGGGCGTAACGGGGGGGGGGCAGGGCTGGCCGCAGCCCATCAGGGCCAGAGGTCTCTAACAGTGGGACAATGAAGGCCTTACATACCTGGACTCTAAGCACCACAGGGAAGGAGCCTGAGCGCTGAGGCCTTGCAGCAGGTGGGCTGGGGCCGTGAGTGAGGCCGGGAGGCCTGCACAGGGACAGAGGCCCACACGCCGGCCCGTGGCCTCTTCTGCTTCTTTTGGCTCCCAGATCCTTCTAATTTCCTATAGGAAGGATCTGGGCTGGAGGCACCGGTCTCCTGGCGCTTTCCGGTGACACTGTCCACGTCTCCGTTCCCCTGGAATTAGCCCACATCTGCAGCATCCCTGACAGCAACCGGCTCCTTGCTCTCCTGCCCCAGCGCCTCCTTCACTGTCAAGCCTACGCTCTTACTCCTGGGCAGGTTAAAGTGACTGGCACTCAGGTCAGCAGGGTCTTTCTACCACCCAAGACTCTCCATCCTTATTAGGGAACCGAGTGATTCTGAACGTCTATACTCCACAATTCAGAATTTAACCTCTGAGTCAGCGTGAGGCCGGAGGCCGGTTTTCAAGGGCAGGGGGGTGAGCATATCCTAAGATTGAATTATGACTGAGCTACGGAGTTCATGCACCTTCTGTAGGACGGTATTATCCTTTAATACCAGATACTGTGGGTCTCTAAGACTATCGGTATCTTCTTCAAGTAGGTAATCTTGTATGTGAATATTTCCTTTTGCAGAAGTGAATATGCAATTCAGGATTCTCCCCAATAATATAGTATTCAGGCTTAATATGAAACTAATCAAAACAGAGAAAAATAAAATTGAAATATTTAATAAAAAAATGTCTGGTATGCATTGAGCAAATCAGAGTTAGTAATAAAAGAGGTAACTTTATTTTGATGGTAAACTTTCATGCTAACTTAATAGTATAATGGAAATGTAATATAACTCATTTTCATATAAAATCTTTGTTTCCATTTAATTAGCATATTAATACATAAAGAAGACGTGTCTTTTTTCAATGCCCGCCCTTTTGTTGCCCTTATTTTGCGTTGTTCTCGGTTCTGTGTGCGGTCTCTGACCTAGACCCAAAAGTCAGTCTTTGCAGACTGAGAACAGCGCCTACGGACGGTCAGTTCTGGTGGTAGGAGGCTCCCAACCTGCGGGTGCTGTGATCGAGGGGGACCCGTAAAGGCAGAGGGCTGGGACAAACGGCCTGTCTTCAGAATGTGTCGGTCTCACTTCAGATGACCCCCGGCCATGTGACAGTGCCCACAGAGCAGAGCACCTGAGGTTGGCAGGTACACCCTTGGAACGTCTGCCGACTCACAGGAAAGCACGCTCCGGTGCAGTGCCTGAGCGCGCTCGTAATGACAGCGCCACGCCGTCACTGATATTTGCATTGTAAGGTTGGTGTTCATCCCATGAACGAGGGCCTCAGTGTGGGGCGTATATTATGATTAAAATGCTTTCTTCTTGACACGGTCTTGCAGCTATTTTAGTGGTATTAGCCGAACTATATGAAACTATATGGCAAAACCAAAATGTGAGTATAAAACATAGACAAGGAAACCGTGTTGCGGCTTAAAGGAAATTAAACCTCTTTCAATGACTAAACATTAGCTTTTCTTTTAAAGAGAACCTTCGAATGAAAAAGTTGTGAAACGTGCACTGAACAATAGCGAATACAATTAGGCTCATGGTCTGTACTGATCTGCTGGTAAGATGTTTCAATAATGTTGTATTTGTGATAAAATGGTGATTTATGGGTGAAGAACTGTACTGCCTGTATTATATTTGGGAGATAAGAGGGAAATGATTACATGAGATCTCTCACTGGGGACTCGGGGGCAGGATGGGCTGAAATAAGGCCTCTGGTTTTAGAAGTTTAAACAAAACCTATTAATCCTTTATTAATATTTTCCTGGAAGAGAAAGAATATATTCGCTTTGAGAAGTAACCTCATATTGCATGGGATACGAAATTAATTTTCGGTTTCAGATATTGGTAGTAAACATTAATTTGACATTAAAAGATTTCATTTTTTGAAAAATGATGGGCTACCTAATTATTTGTCATAAAGGTTCCTGGGGGACTCAAGATGGAAAAATGCAGGTGAGTCAGGCTGCCGGGCCTCATCTTCTCCCCATCCCCACACTGTATTCATGAATTCAAAGAATCCTTGCAGGAGCTGTGTAGGAATGATATATGCAACTCTTTGGAAAAATCCATTAACAACACAAAGATTTGTGACCTGGCTTAATTACATTCAGTCTAGTGGCAATTGTGGTTGCTGTTTTCTTACTAAACAAGTTATAGGGGTCCTGTGCATTTCTGAAGCCTTCTTTCCCTTACATCAACTTGCAAATTTGGAACAGTATTTATATGTATGCTTTCTGGGTATGGATTAGCCTCTTAAAGTACATAATTCCAATAATTATCACTGACAGAAGGGATGAATAAATTATGCTCCAAGCACAACAAAATTAAGAGTAAAAAAATGGTTTGCATAAGTTTTTCTTAAATGCATGTGCCTATATTAAATTTAATATCCCATGCAACTGATCCTGAAAGACTCCCAATGAGTTATTAATACTCAACTATACCGCTGCCTGCTTTGGGACAAAGAATAAGATAGAATTTAAATGCTGCAGATGTCACGATGTTTTGAAAAGCTTCTTTAATTTAAGCACAGAGTTATGATGTGAATTGCAAATTCTAACAGCCCGGATGAGTGAAATATCAATGCCACGTTCATTCTTTACACCAGAATGCAAAGATTAAGCTTCGGGTCTTGTTCACAAAATTAAAGCCAAAACCGTCATTCCCTCTCCTTGCAGAGAGCTTAGCACTGAGGCTAGTAAGTGATGAGAGGCTGTTTTCTTTAAACAAAGAATATTACAAAGAGACTCGTTTGGAAGTACGGACAAAGGGTAAAAATGTCCCATCTGACTCGTTCTTTTGAAGGCTGGCAAGTGCCTGAAGACCGCGGCACTTAATTAATGCGTCTGTGTTTTGATTTACCGTATATGCCTTCAAAGGAGGTTTCCATTTATTTACCGTATCTGACAGAAAGGGAGACAATGCTGATTTTTTAAAAAGTTGCTTGTCTGTTGCAGTGTGTTTTGCAGGGCGAGTTTATTCGGCTTTCATTGGAGTCTGGATGTAGTGATTATTAAATGTGCACACACCCTGCAAGGAAATTGAAATGACAGACACAAGGCATCTTCTTCTCTTCAGTATTGTCCTTTATACCCGTTAGAGTACTGGGTGCGGGTTCTGTGCACTGGTATTGGTGGGCAGTGAACAGCTGGAGGGGGCAGCGGGAGTTTTCTATCCCATAGCTCTTCCAATAGATATAACCAAACGATCACTAAGGTGCTAGTTATCTGGACACAGGCCCGAGCACTCACTAAGAGCTCTCAAGCCACATTTACCCCTGAGCATGACCATCTCCTGCACACATATTTATCCTGAGAGGCAACTATATACAGAACACAGGGGTGAGTTCCCTGGATGCAGCTAATATTCAGCTCAACAGAAGCCTACCCTCAGCTCTATGTTATGTGTTATTTACCTGGAGCATCCCCAGAACTGCGCCTGCACACCTGTCAGCTAAGATAAGGATGTCCAGGTAGCAGGATAAGGGTAAGTGAAGGGGGACAGCAGAAACGGGAAGGCTGTCCCTGTGTCTTCGCCCTCAGTGATGTTCATTTGACTTCTTAACCGTTTGCTCCTGCTTATTGGCAGCGTGTGTGTGTGTGTGTGCATGCGCGTGTGCGTGTACACACATCAGTGTGTTGATGAACTAGAATCATGAAATCCTTTCAGCTCTGGAAACGGGTGGAAATCAAGAGGATTAACTACCAGGGTGTCTCCTCTGAGGTGAAGGTACTTAACCAAAGGTAGGCTCTTATTTCTGTGACCTTGTGCTCTGTAGTTTTGCTAAAAAGTTTTCTTGCTGCCATTAAGCTCTAACTAACTATGAACTTCTGGAAACATTTCTTACAATTTTTGTTGTGAATTCAGACCATAAAATAATAGGTTGGTGTGTGTGTGTGTGTGTGTGTGTGTGTGTGAAAAGGCATAACTCTGATAAGAAGGCAGACTATATTTTCCTTCTCTTCCCTTTGATTGCTTCGGTAGCCACTCCTTTCTCCAGACCCCCCCACCCCAATCAAACTTGCTTCTTGCTGGCACAGCTCCCAAAAAACCTCCTTTAAGAGCTGCTATTTCAACCCTAAGCATGGGCTCTGGGAGGACATTCCATGCATCGCTGGCCAATGCCCAGACAAAGGAGCAGGGGAAGCAGCTACCTTCCTAATAATACAGGAGTGTGATGCTTCCCACACGGCACTTATTTCTGGCAAGAAAGAAGAGAAAAACCCTAAGAGGTCCAACTAATTCCCAATATAAAATGGTGTTTACAAACAGAATCTTGCCTTGGCAGAGCAAAGAGCTGCCTTTGGTTGGAATGTGTCCTGCAGACATGGCATTACCAATGCTGCTTTTAGCACCGATGGAGTAGGGTCTGTGTCATAGGGCAGCAGCCCGGGGACTGCACCTGAAGTAGAAAACCTCTGACAAACATCAGTGGTCCTGGTGTGGGAAAGATCTGCTCTTCCCTCACACCGAAAGGCTGTGCTTTTCTATTTACAGTGGCCTGAAATGGCAGGATTGCTGCAGTGAGCTAATAAAGCCCTTGGTAAGAGTGTCTGTTTCTTGAATACATTTTTGCCCTTGTCTTTTTTTGTGAGTGGCACATACTTAAAAACAAAACAAAACAAAACAAAAACCAGTTAATAACAAAAGTCACCTTAGAAGACTGTTGCAGGTAATGTGGTATAAACTCATTGTTAGCGGGGAGAACGATGTCACTCTGCCGGACGCCCAGGTCCCAGAGGCGGTTGGCACTGCTCCGTCACTGTGTGACTTTCTTCTTGATGACCGTGAGCTCTTTCTGAAGTTCACTGAACTTGGGGCGGTTCTCAGGTTTATAATCCCAACACTTCATCATAATTTTAAAAATGTCCTCTGGGCAATGCTGGGGGGCTGACATTCGGTACCCTGAAGACCCAAGAGGAAGAGAGCAGAGGGTTCAGGAAAGACGGAAATGCGCACATGGGGCCTTATGTGGCTGGTGATCTTCAGTACCTTATGTTGTAGGTGGAACAGAGACAGAAAACCCGTTTCAGGGCACACTGACTTCTGTTTTCTACAAGTGATGCAGAATCAGTATTACAGAACCATTGGGTTACCTTTTGGCTGGAATAACTCATTTTTCATGTGTTCATTTGTCACAAAGTCTGAGGCAAGATAGATCACATACAAACACATATTTTAGTTGCTCTCAGCATTGGCTTCTGCTTTTAGAATGTGCCGTTAGGTGGTGTGGGCCGAGCTTTAGAGAATCATCTATACAACCCAGGGTTCTGGAGATGAAGAGAGGATGAGGATTTTATAGACACTAATTCAAACATGAAATAAAAATGAACAGGAGTTCTATTCCTTGACAGCCCAAGAAGAGCCTTGAATTCGAAGCCACCTGGCGGTGTGCCGGGCCACGCGCACCTGCCTGTGGTCGTGGATGCGGGGAGGAGGATGGCTGAGAGGGGAAAGCAGGGGGCTGGCAAGTCCTCCTCCTGCACCAGGTCTACAGCCCGGCCCCTCCAGAGCATCAGCAGGCACCACCACCGTGTCGAAAGCATTCTCTCTGCTGCGAGCCGCAGATGACACAGGTGCATGCCAGTGTGTCACCATCACCGACCTGTTCCCGTTTCTGATCTGGGAGCAGTACATGGCTTCTTCAGAAACGTCAGAAAATTTTCAAACACCTCACTCTCCAGTCTAACTATGTTTCAATTTACGATACTATTAATGGCGCTCAGTTGGCACAGAATAAAAAAAAAATAAGAGGTTGGGGAACGCTACTCTATTTTGCTTGAAGGCAGGGAGAGGCACAGCCTTGCAGGTGTCATGCCAGGTCGGGGCAATGAGAGACAAGCCTGTAGCTCTGTTTTTAAAACTATTGGAATCCTTAGAAGTTTCTTCGGTGGTTGTTGGTTTTCGTTTTGTAAGCACCCCCCACCCGCCACCATCCATGGGATGCCAAAGCAGATACAGCGGCACCTCCGCGGTGTTGTTCACACGCCCTCCTTGCGCTGGGACGTCCCTGGACCCGGTGTTGCCACGGCCCCCGGGGCTGGAGGCGAACCCTTCCACCCCATGTCTTCGGCTCACCTCTTTCCACTTGCTCCCGCGCCTGCTGATTTGTCATTCCGGGGTAGGGGCACACTCCTAAGCTGAAGGTCTCCCAGAGGAGGATGCCGAAGCTCCACACGTCGCTCTCAGAACTGTATCTCCCTGCAGGCAGACAAAACCATAACCAGGTAAGTGGGTGATGCGAGGGCCACTTCTGTTCTGCGTGCCTTTGCTGGGCACACGTCAGTGTACTTAAACTTGCCCACGGAATGCCAGTAACTAGTCACTGGTTTTCCTTTGCAGAACTAGTACTATTACCAACTAAATGAATAGGCAGGCTGCTAGTTTAACAAGATCAGCGTTCAAGTCTCTCTCCCCACACCAAAACCAAAATATCCAGCCAGCACGCAAGCCCACTTTCCCTGTGGCGTTTAAATGAGATGGATGACTTACGTAGAAAAAGATATAAATTTGTAGACATCAAAGCCTTAGGAGACTAAGCAAGTCGGATTTCTGCAATTTTGTTTTCTGCCTGCATCATTTTCTTTCCATTAAAATCACAAACAAAGCAATAATGAAAGCTTCTTCAGTTTTTTTTTTTTTTTTTTTTTACTCATCACTGTGTGCAGATATTCCTACATTCTTAAAGGTCTCATTTTCTCCACGGTTTCATTTATGGAAAATATATTTTTTCCTGCATATTTTGAATAGAGTAGAATCAATGTAGCTGGCTGATAAAACCAACTTCTTTAAATTACACGGTGCCTTGTGTTTCGTCAAAATATCTTGCTGCAAAAAAAAAAAAAAAAAAAAAAAACCAAAAAAACTCTTGCTGCACTTGTTTTATTGAGCTACAAGAACTAATAAGTTCTTCAGATTTTTTTTTTTTTTTTTTTTTGGGTAGTCTTGTAGAGAAGCACAGAGATAAAAAGCACAAGATACCTCCTGGAGATGGATGTGGAAACAGAAAAATCCTTTCCATCGTCCAAGAGGCTAAGAAAATGTAAAGATTTTCACAACACATTTGTATTGTAATTTTCGTTTTACACCGAGAGCGTATACGATCGTGACGAAATGCCCCTGTGGTGGTGTAAACGGATTTTTCCATGATTTCATTTCTATCCCCATGGTTAGCTGCCCGCCTCTACTCTGCTGCTCCAGGACCGGGAACACCCCTCCGCTATAAACGCCTTGTTACTTTCAAGGAAGAAGAGGCCTCTGTCTCTTGCTTGAACAAAGTCAGATGAGAACGGGAGCGTGCCTGCGCTTCGCTAGCTGAGTGTGGGTGCGGATTTTCCCCTGCAGCTGCGGGAATTAGCTTCCTTACTAGACAGCGATTATGGAAATTCACTACGCTGTTCGGCAGCAGGATTAGTTTTCTGGTCTGCCTATCCACTCTCTCCAGGTTCACCAGCCCGTAATTTAATATGTTTCAGGAAAGTCACTCAATGGCTACAAGATCAATTCTGGGAGAAAGTCAAAGGTATGCAAAACCAAATACTTTGTTTTTTGTAAGATAATACCAGGGTAGAGATCAAGAAGGGTATGTTGTCTATCGACCAAGATCACCTTCCAACAGTGAAAGTTAATAACCTCGTTCTATAACCTTGACTTTGAACCTGGTTTTGCTGGGATAATTTAAATTTATTTTTAAAGATATTTTAAATTTATCTACTTATGTTAGTGAGGTATAATTGATAAGTATTATATTAGCTTTAGTGTATAGCATAATGAATCAATATTTGTACATTTTGCAAAGTGATTAATATGGTAAATCTAATTGACATCCATCACCATACTTAGTTACAATTTTTTTTCTTGTGATGAAAACTTTAAAGGTTTACTGTCTTAGCTATTTTCAAATGAGCAATATAGGAATATTAATTACAGTCATTGTGCTTTGTTTTATATACCCATGATTTCTTTCTTTCACAACTGGAAATTAGCACCTTTTGACCCCTTTCACCCATTTTACCCATCCCTTACCTCTGGCAACCACCAACCTGTTCCCTGTATCTATAACCTAGGTTTTCTTCCTCTCTCTTTTCTTTTCTTTCCTTCCTTCCTTCTTTCTTTTTAAGATTTCACGTGAAAGTGAAACCATAAGTTATTTGTCTTTCTCTGACTTATCTTACTTAACATAATGAGCTTGAGGTCCATCCATGGTGTCACAATGGCAAGATACTATTTTCTACGGCTGAGTAATATTCCCTTGCATATGTATACCACATTGTCTCTATCTTTTTATCTGTCAGCGGACACTGATTGACATGTCATAGCTACTGTAAATAATGCCACAATGAATATGGGAAGGCATCTATCACTTCCAGTTAGTGTTTCCTTTTTCTTCAAATAAATACCCAGAAGTTAAAATACTGTATCATATAGTTCTTTTTTTTTTTAATATTTTTTTTCCTTAGGAATCATCATACAGTTTTCCTTAGTGGCTTCACTACACATATTTTCACCAGCAGCGCATAAGAAGCTTCCCTTTCTTCACATCCTAACAAACATGTTATTTGTGGTCTTTTTGAGTATAGTCCTAGTAACAGGTATGAGGTGACCTCATTGTAGTTTTATAGACACACACACACACACACACACACACAGCCCCCACATCTTCTTTATCCATTCATCTATCAACAGACACAGGTTGCTTCCCTATCTAGGCTATTATAAATAATGCTGCGATAAACAAAGGAGTGCATATATCTTTTTGAATGAGTGTTTTCATTTTCTTCTGATAAACAGTAGTGAAATTATGGGACTGTATGGTATTTTTATTTTTAATTTCTTGAGGAACCCCTAAACTGTTCACTACAATGGCTGTACTAATTTACATTCCTATAACAGAGCAAAGGGCTTGTTTTTCTCCACATTCTCGCCAATACTTGTTCTTTCTTTTAGATTCTAGCCATTCTTATAGGTGTAAGGTGATATTTCAGTTTGGTTTTGATTTGCATTTCCTTGATGATGAGGGATATTAAGCATATTTTCATTGTCTGTTGGCTCTCTGTATGTCTTCTTTGGAAAAAAATGTTGATATTTTTGTAAGGTGATATTTCAGTTTGGTTTTGATTTGCATTTCCTTGATGATGAGGGATATTAAGCATATTTTCATTGTCTGTTGGCTCTATGTCTTCTTTGGAAAAAAATGTTCAGGTCCTCTGCCCATTATTTAATCAGATTATCTGTGGGTTTTTTGGAGTTGTGTAAGTTCTTGATGTACTTTGGATATTAACCCTTATCAGATATCTCATTTACAAATATCATCTCTCATTCAGAAGGCTGCCTTTTTTGTATTGTTGATGGTTTGCTGTGCAGCAGCGTATTTTGGTGTAGTCCCAATAGTTTATTTTTGCCTTTGTTTCATTTGCCTGAGGAGACCTACCTAGAAAAATGTTGCTAAGGCTAGTATCAAAAATACCAATGTTTTCTTCTAAGAGTTTTATGGTTTCAGGTCTCACATTTACATCTTTATTTTGAGTTTACTGTTGTGTGGCATAGTAAGACAGTGGTCCAGTTTTATTCTTTTGGCTGCAGCTATCTAGTTTTCCCAGCACCATTTATTATTTTTTTAAAATATTTATGTAAGTAATCTCTATATACAAAATGGGGATCAAACTCATGACCTTGAGATCGAGTCATACACTCTTCTAACTGAGCAAGCCAAGTGCTCCATCCCAGCACCATTTATTAAAAAGATTGTCTTTTCCTCAATGTATATTCTGGTCTCCTTTATCATAGATCAAGTGACCATCTAAGCATGGTTTTATACCTGGATTCTTTTCTGTTCCATTGATCTATGTGTCTATTTTTGTGCCAATACCATACTTTTTTGATTCCTACAGCTTTGTAGTATATCTGAATCTGGAATTGTGATAACTCCAGCTTTGTGCTTCTTTCTCAATACTACCTTGGCTCTTCAGAGTCTTTTTGTGATTCCATACAGATTTTAGGACTATTTATTCTAGTTCTTTGAAAAATACTATTGGTATTTTGATAGGGATTGCATTGAATCTGTAGATGGCTTTGGGTTGTATGGACATTTTAACAATGCTATTTCTTCTAACCCATGAGCATGGTATGTCTTACCATTTGCTTTTATCATTTTCAAATGTCTTTCTTTCATCAGTGTTTTATAGTTTTCAGAGTACAGGTCTTTCCCCTCCTTGGTTAAGTTTGTTCCTAGATATTTTACTATTTTAGTGCAAATGTAAGTAGAATTGTTTTCTTAATTTCTATTTCTGCTACTTTGTTTTTAGTGTATAAAATGCCACAGATTTCTGTATGTTAATCTGTATCCTGCAACTTTATTAAATTTATTTATTGTAATAGTTTTCTGTGCAGTCTTTTGGGTTTCCTGTGTATAGCATCATGTTATCTGTAAATAGTGAAAGTTTTACTTCTTCCTTTCCAACTTGGATGCGCTTTCTTTTTCTTGTCCCACTGCTATGGTTAGGACATCCAGTACTATGTTGGATAAAAGTGGCAAGAATGGACATCCTTGTCCTGTTCCTTATCTTAGAGGAAAAGCTCTCAGTTTTTCACTATTGAGTATGATGTTAGCTGTGAGTTTTCATATATGGCCTTACTATGTTGAGGTATGGTCCATCTAAACCCATCTTATTAAGAATTCTTAACATGAATGGATATTGAATTTGGTCAAATGCATTCTGTTCATCTAACTGAAATGGTCCTATGATTCTTATCCTTATTTTGTTAATGTGGTGTATCATTTTGATTGATTTGTGACTATTAACACATCCTTGCACTCCTTGAATAAATCCTACTTGATTGTGGTGAATGATCCTTTTAATGTAATGTTGAATATGGTTTGCTAATTTTGTTGAGGGTTTTTGCATCTTTGTTCAACAGGGACAGTGGCATAGTTTTCTTTTTTTGTAGTGTCTTGGTCTGGTTTTGGTATAAAGGTAAGGCTGGCCTTATAGGATGTTTTTGGAAGCTTTCTTTCCTCTTCCATTTCTTTGTATAATTCGAGGAATATAAATATTAACTCTCCCTTAAATGTTTGATAGAATTCACCTGTGAATCCATCTGGTTCTGGACTTTAGTTTGTTGGGAATTTTTTGATTACCAACTCAATTTGGTTATTAGCAACTGGTGTGATTAGATGTTCTATTTGTTCCTAATTTTTATTT